AGCAACACAGAATGTCTCAGAGCCTTACCGCATTATATTCCAGTATACTTTGGTAGTCTTAATTTTGTCTTCCTTCACATAACAGAATTTCCACCATAATCAAGTGCATAAAAATTCATCAGAATGCAGGAAAATTAAGTGTTTGATGCTCAATATTTTCAGGGAGGGGACCCCCAGACCCCCCACTTCATATGTATGGATATGTATGGATGGAAATGCTCTTAATGTTTAATGTACTAATGCTGAAAACAACTGGGAATGTTTCCTTACATTGACAGTAAACTATATAAAGATGTCCTTTGTCAGTTTATACTTACAGAGTTTATCCCATGACAACATTGCTACTTTTACATTCTTGAGCTTTCTGCTTTAAACATGTAGGTTGCTGCCGTTACTACCACACACTAAAGTTAGGCCACAGCCCTGGCAACATCAGAGCCCCAGTTACTGTGCAGTAGGTTTGATTTTAATTACATTTAAGATGACAACATCCATATGTAAAAAAAAATTGACATCCTAAGTCTAAACTTTAAGGGTTAGAGCCAGTGGCATTGTTAGGCCTGGGCGTCTAAGGCTTCAGCCCCGTATGTTTTATGAACAGCCTCCTACCTATAAATAGACTGCGTATATATGCATATATATATATATACAGTACAGGCCAAAAGTTTGGACACACTTTCTCATTCAATGCGTTTTCTTTATTTTCATGACTATTTACATTGTAGATTCTCACTGAAGGCATCAAAACTATGAATGAACACATGTGGAGTTATGTACTTAACAAAAAAAGGTGAAATAACTGAAAACATGTTTTATATTCTAGTTTCTTCAAAATAGCCACCCTTTGCTCTGATTACTGCTTTGCACACTCTTGGCATTCTCTCCATGAGCTTCAAGAGGTAGTCACCTGAAATGGTTTTCCAACAGTTTTGAAGGAGTTCCCAGAGGTGTTTAGCACTTGTTGGCCCCTTTGCCTTCACTCTGCGGTCCAGCTCACCCCAAACCATCTAGATTGGGTTCAGGTCCGGTGACTGTGGAGGCCAGGTCATCTGCCGCAGCACTCCATCACTCTCCTTCTTGGTCAAATAGCCCTTACACAGCCTGGAGGTGTGTTTGGGGTCATTGTCCTGTTGAAAAATAAATGATCGTCCAACTAAACGCAAACCGGATGGGACGGCATGTCGCTGCAGGATGCTGTGGTAGCCATGCTGGTTCAGTGTGCCTTCAATTTTGAATAAATCTCCAACAGTGTCAGCAGCAAAACACCCCCACACCATCACACCTCCTCCTCCATGCTTCACAGTGGGAACCAGGCATGTGGAATCCATCCGTTCACCTTTTCTGCGTCTCACAAAGACACGGCGGTTGGAACCAAAGATCTCAAATTTGGACTCATCAGACCAAAGCACAGATTTCCACTGGTCTAATGTCCATTCCTTGTGTTTCTTGGCCCAAACAAATCTCTTCTGCTTGTTGCCTCTCCTTAGCAGTGGTTTCCTAGCAGCTATTTGACCATGAAGGCCTGATTGGCGCAGTCTCCTCTTAACAGTTGTTCTAGAGATGGGTCTGCTGCTAGAACTCTGTGTGGCATTCATCTGGTCTCTGATCTGAGCTGCTGTTAACTTGCCATTTCTGAGGCTGGTGACTCGGATGAACTTATCCTCAGAAGCAGAGGTGACTCTTGGTCTTCCTTTCCTGGGTCGGTCCTCATGTGTGCCAGTTTCGTTGTAGCGCTTGATGGTTTTTGCGACTCCACTTGGGGACACATTTAAAGTTTTTGCAATTTTCCGGACTGACTGACCTTCATTTCTTAAAGTAATGATGGCCACTCGTTTTTCTTTAGTTAGCTGATTGGTTCTTGCCATAATATGAATTTTAACAGTTGTCCAATAGGGCTGTCGGCTGTGTATTAACCTGACTTCTGCACAACACAACTGATGGTCCCAACCCCATTGATAAAGCAAGAAATTCCACTAATTAACCCTGATAAGGCACACCTGTGAAGTGGAAACCATTTCAGGTGACTACCTCTTGAAGCTCATGGAGAGAATGCCGAGAGTGTGCAAAGCAGTAATCAGAGCAAAGGGTGGCTATTTTGAAGAAACTAGAATATAAAACATGTTTTCAGTTATTTCACCTTTTTTTGTTAAGTACATAACTCCACATGTGTTCATTCATAGTTTTGATGCCTTCAGTGAGAATCTACAATGTAAATAGTCATGAAAATAAAGAAAACGCATTGAATGAGAAGGTGTGTCCAAACTTTTGGCCTGTACTGTATATATATATATATGCATATATATGTATATGTATGAATACGCAGATTTTGTGTGATTACGTGCAACAGAGAGAGAGTGTACTGGTAATAACAGCAGTGTTGCAGCTGGTAAAGGTCGCGCTCATTTATGAATTATTAGGTGATTATATTTTGTTTTCAAAGCACACAAAGACAAAATGTTGTGGAGTATAAAGTACAATTTTTCCCTCTGAGATGTAGAGGAGTAAAAGTGTAAAGCAGAATAAAGTGGAAATACTAACAGCACCTCTAAATTACAGTATACAGTTGCAAAGTAGTACAGGTACCACATTTTTAACATCACAATTCATCAATAATGTGGAAAAACTAAATAAAAATAAACAATTTTAAGGGTAAATAAGATGGCAGAGTGCATGAAAAGCATAAAAATAGAGCTTCTTAATAAAAAAAAATAAAAAAAAAAAAATCTCAGGACAGGATACCCCGAGAGCCAGAAATCTAGGCTAAGACCCTGATGTCCTCAAATCCTAGAAACACCCCTGGTTACTTACTTACTACTACTTACTACATACTTCTACTGTTATTATACACATATGATTATTGTCACACATGTATACTATCAGATATTAATATATTATTATTAATTATAATATTATTACTTTCATTAATGTTGTTGTAAGCTACTGTCATTACCATCTGTCCTGCATCTCTCTCTCTCTCTCTGTCTGTCTCATTGTGTCATACAGATTACTGTTAATTTATTATGCTGATCTGTTCTGTACGACATCTATTGCACGTCTGTCCGTCCTGGAAGAGGGATCCCTCCTCAGTTGCTCTTCCTGAGGTTTCTACTGTTTTTTTCCCCGTTAAAGGGTTTTTTTGGAGAGTTTTTCCTGATCAGCTGTGAGGGTCATAAGGACAGAGGGATGTCGTATGCTGTAAAGCCCTGTGAGGCAAATTGTGATTTGTGATATTGGGCTTTATAAATAAAATTGATTGACTGATTGATTGATATAGCAGGAAACAAATTAAATTCACAGAAAGACAAGTTGTTTTATATATGTTAATACAGTTGTTTACATATGTTAATAATAGATAATTGCCACCACAAACTACAGTGTGCCTGGAGGATCTGTTCTCTCTCTCCCTCTCTTATTTTCTATGTTTACTTCCTTTGGGGTCTTTTACTTCTTTATGTTAATATCCCTTTCCATTTTTATTTAGATGACACTATTTTTTGGATGATCTCAACAGCATAACTGGCCTTAATGACTGTCTGGACATTATGATGGGCTGGATCTCTCAAAGTTTTCAAAAGGTGGGGCGTTCTGGTGGCCAGGTAGTTAAGGTGCTTACCAGATAACTTTAAATATATAAATTCAAATAGAATAAGACAGAGAGACTATTAGCTCCCAAAAGTGTTCAAAAAACATTAAGAAATATTTCTAGAATCAGACTGACTTGATCCTTTGAAAATTATGACAAATTAATCCAAGGTAAGGTATAGTTATGATGCCATAACTGCAAGCCATTATGACAGGCCCCATAGGCAGGCCCCTAGTTAGTTTGGAAACACACACATGCACGCACGCACGCACGCACGCACGCATGCACATGCACGCACGCACACACACACACACACACACACACACACACACACACACACAGTTTTAGACATATATACAGTATGTTTTGCAACTGTCTGCTGTTTGAGCTGAGTCTCTGTTAGCATGCATCTGTATGTATGAATTTTTGCATTGTTCTCTGTATTTTAATCTTTATTCAGATTTAGTCTTCTTATTCTTTAATGTATTATTTGTATGCTTATAACTAAATCTTTTATATTCTTTTAGGGTGACTATTCAACATCAGTCCAGGGACAGCAGATGTAAAATAGCCTTTAAGCTAATTCTGGCATGTTTACATTTAAAAAAAAAAAGTTTTATTAATGTCCCTGATCACTAAACCTTAAAATAAATAAATAAATAAATAAATGTTTTACCAACAGTGTGTCTAACTGCCGCTTTCATGTTATATCCACTTGCAGATGTGCCCAGCTTGTCAGTCTTGAGAGATTTTGCACCTAAACTAGCAACTGTAAATCATTTTGTCCCGTTACATGATTAAACAGAGACATGATATAGGACAACATCAACATATATATTACTCTGCATTTATCGTTACATATCAGTGTATGACAAAAACTACAAAAGAAAATAGGAGATTATTAGTATATTTTATGTTACAAAAACAGAAAACCATGATGGAGACTGGTTTTCCTTTTTGAGGGCACAAATAGAAAATCTTTCCATTTTTGATTTTTAACATGTGTTCTTTGAACACCGGCGTATTCCAGGTGGCGATTGGGCCCCTCCACCCCATGGGCCCCAGCACAATCGCACTGTCTGCAATGTCTATATTTACACCCCTGAATGAATCCTTGCTTTTGTGTCATCACGACTACTTTACTGTCATTTATTATACTGCTTCTGAGGAGCTAGAGCTCCTCTGCAAAGGGGTTCAAAAGCTGCAGCGTATCAGATGCTACACAGTGAAACAAATGAGAACATGTGTCACTTGTTGTGTCCATAAAGTCATTTGACATCTCACAGGTTAACCTGTATTAAGTGGATATTCTTAGAATTTAAAACCTGTAGGTTTGGTTACTATGTCATCTCTCAAAATTCAGGGTTAAGACTCCTATTTGCTTTGAAAGGCTTGATACTTTCTGTCTAATACTCACCATCAGGCTGGAAACTGTAGAGATCAGTCCTGCTGAGTGACATGTCAAACAGCGGGTTACTCTGGGTGTATGAGATCCGGTCCACTGATGTCTCCATACTGTCTCGGGTCCAGAATCACCTTCACCCCCTACTTCAGGAACTCTTATAACACACAGTGCATGATGTTGGGAAAACACAATTCACCCCAGATTGCAACAGAGCCTCCCCATGACACAACTCACATGGCCACGGATTGAAGTAGAGGAAGGAACTTCATCTGTTGCTGAGGTGGCCAAAATTCAGCAGCACAACACCCAACAGTACAGCTGCTCAGTTGAATGAGGAAGTTGTTGCTCTAACCACACATGCAACAAGGCCTTGCAAAACAGTAACAGAAATCAAGTTCAGTATTTTTAACACTGTTAGAATGACTGGGAGAATGATTATTGACAACCTGTTCTTATTGCTTTACTATTACGTCCACTGGTTGAACTGGTGCCAGAGCAGCAGGATCACATAACAATCTACAATAGAAGAGAAAAGGGCAGGTTGAGTCAGTCACTTAGTCACATGCAAAATGAATTGTTTAAATGAGCACGTTCATCCCCAATATAGAACTAAATATCAAACTACTGAATGTGGGCCAGATGATACAGGAATGGCTCCTGATCTTTAGGTTTTCAGCAAGCCAATATTTTCTCCAAAAAGCCCCATGTGATCATTAAAGTTTTGATCTCTGAATTAAAGTAGGGAACACAAACTACTTAGTTATGATTGGGGAAAGATGGGGATCATGGTGAAAAGAAACCGACTGTTGCAAAGTGACAGTATCCAGCATGAAAATCTGAAACTTTGAACCTGCTCCCTCTGTGGGTCTGCTTGACACAATAGCTTTGCATAGACAAAGGGCTTCACCACATGCCCATGGTGCATCAGTGGCCCTTCGATTCTATGATTGATTTAGGTTTGATTTGAATTTTTTACTGATATATGGCCACTACACCTTTCTGTATTTTTCAGTCTTATAATTAACTGCTGTTGTCTGTGCCATTAATTTTGCTCTGTGGGTGTTTGTTTGTTTTTTTTCTTCTTTTGTAACTGTGACACTTTGTATGTATACATTTAAAAAGCACACTGAGTTTGCTTGCAATGTAATGCTTTGTAAATGATTCCTTGCCTTGTCTGTGCAGTCCTCAGTGCCTGAGAGGATACCATAGATAGTTGCACAGGTCAGGTGTTGGTTCCTGCTCTGGCCTTCCGGCCTGCTGCACCTCCTCCGGTGCCAGTGTGGGCAGCTGCAGGGTCATCAGCTGGATACCGCCGTTCACCGATGTTTCGCCCCCTGCACCAGTACATCTCCTGGCGGGGGGGCCAGGGGCGTATGGGGACGTCTCCCCGCCACCCCCTGCAGCTGCCCTTAAAGGGGTGTTTGCCCCCAACCATTTTCCTTCCTCCGAAGCCACAGCCAGTAGCTTGCCTTCTCAGCCTCCTTTCCCAGCTCCTTCACGGCTTTCCACAGACTTGTCCCGGACATACCAGCACTACAGAGCAGCTGGACTACCGTCTTGCCGGCAAAGCCCCTGGTATTGACCTCCACAGCTGACCACATGACGACGTCTGGTCAGAGAGTGGTTGTCACGATCTCTCTCGGGAACACCAGCCGTCTTCTGAGGTCTGCCAGCATTTGCCATTCCTTGCCTGGTCTGAGAATGGAGACCTCCTGCGTGGGTGTGCTGCGCGTTTCGCCTGGCTTGACAAACGCAGCTAGCGCGGGCCTTGCCGTTTCCTGGATGCGGTTCGCTGCCACCCTGCATCTTTCCAGAAGCTCTGCCAGCTTGGACAGTACTTGGTTGTGGCGCCACCTGAAACACCCCTGGGCCAGCGCCACCTTGCATCCTGATAGAATGTGCTGGAGGCTCGCCTTGGTGGTACCACACAGCAGACAGTCAACCTCAATCCCAAACCACTGGGTGAGGTTCCAGGGGCATGGGAGCGTGTCGTAGACTGCCCTGATTAGGAAGCTCAGTCTCTTCTGTAGCGTACTCCAGATGTCTGCCCAGCTGATGCGCCTCTGCACAGTAGCCTCCCATCGCGTCCAGGCTCCTTGGCTGCCCTGGGATACCGCCTTTATGTGGAAGCGTTCCTGCTTCACCCTGGTGACTTCGTCCACCACCATGGTCTTCCACTGCTTCTTGGTGGCTTTGGACCAGAACTGTTGTGGAGCGCCCCAGCCTAGGCCGGCGCGACCTGTCTGGGTTAACCCCATCACCTCCTTGTGTTGCAGGCTGGCGATGGCATTCTCCACTTCAGCGGGCGCTTTCCACATGTGGGCAGGTGCCCGCTGAAGTGGAGAATGTGGAGAATCCCCTGTGCGGATGGGGACTTTTGCACTTCTTATCAGATGGTCAGCGGAGTCCTTCAGCTCCAGCACAAGACGTGCCTTCTACTGCTTGTACCCAAGGCTGGTGGATTTCAAAGGGAGCTCCAGCATATTCCATCCGAAGAGGCCTGCATCTGAGAAGCAGTGGGGCAAGCCCATCCACTTCCTGATGTAGCTGTTGGCTAGGCTGTCCATTCTGCTGACCTCTGACATGGGGACCTCACTGACCTTTAGTGGCCACATCATATGTTGGAATAGTGTATGCTGGTAGCACCACACCTTGTGTTTCCCTGGTAGCTGGCTTTGATTGATCTTTTCTAGATCCTCTGCAAGTTGTTGTCGGGCTTGCTTCCCCATCTGTTTATCGGTCAAGTCTGCAGTGTACTGCCTCCCCAGGCTTTTGAGTGGTCCTCCAGCAAGCCGTGGAATTGGGTCATCTCCAGCGACAAAGATGGTCTTGTCTTGGGGCACTCCTTTCCTTAACGATAGACTTCTTGATTTTGCTGCCTTTACTTTCATTCTTGCCCATGAGATCAGCTCGTCGAAACACTTGAGGAGCCTTGCTGTACATGGCGCAGTCTGCAGGATGCTTCTTACGTCATCCATGTAGCTCCTCAGCGGTGGGAGCCTCTTGCCTGATGGTAGCTTGATACACTTTTATAATGAAGTCAGCTCAGGGTTGTCTGACACAGAGAGTTCAGATGATCCAGTGGGATCCAGAAACACCTCTCAGTCACCAAGAAACCCTCCTGCCCCAAGTGGCCAGAAAAAATCAATAAATTAAGCTTTAGATAGGCCAATTCTCTATGACACTGAATAGATGCAAACTAATAGGTCTCTATACTCCTTCACAGACTGACTTTGCAATATGCTGCATCATTTCATGGACTGAACTGTCTTAGGAAGTCATGACAATAGCCATGTTTCTGTTCAAATATATCCAAAGTTACTAACAGCTGCTTCATCAAGCTAAACAGTTGGAGATAATTCTCCAGACGGGTGCCATTAACCACAACAGAAGAAGAGGGATGCAACGAGATGACTTAATCAAACCTTAATAGAAAACATGATGGAAATATCTCATTTATGTTTGTTTCATGTATTAATTTATTAGCTTATCTCAAAATTGAATAAAATCATCACACCTGTCCACATGATGAGAATATGACGAGGCTCAGCAAAGGTTACATCTCCTGTGTTAGCTGACAAAGTTCAACCTGCCACAGGAGCCGCTGATGGAGTTTAACACAGAAAGCATTCAGTGTGTTCTCTGTGTTCTGTGACTGATAACCCGGAGACCCAATGGGAGAGGAGCCCTTGAAAAGCCTGGCATGAAAAGTTTGGCTCTGTTTGCAATGTTTTATTTCTAAGTAATCAGTGTCATAACAAAATCAAAATTGGCTGAATGAAGTGGTACAAAGACACTGCATTACAAGCTGCAGCAATGGTACAAAATGGAATACATCGTCTCCCCCCCACACACCCCCACCTTGTTTGGAAGTGAAGCAAATGTTGTGCGGATGGATGAAATCAGATTCAAAACAATACAATACTATATACAGTACAAATTTAATGTTTGTTTCTATTTATGCTGCTTGTTTTTAACTGCTAGCTTAATAGATATTAACTGAGTGAAAGATCACATCAGTTGTTGCCAGATCTTGAAAGGCTGTGTTGCTAAAACAGAGAAATGCCTCCAGCAAAGTTCATTTTCTCATGATTTTCTGTCTGAAACAATGTCATTTCAGTATCAGAATGTTTACTAGGGTTGGGGCTTGTGAAAATGGGTGCAATATTTATTTAGTGAGGGTGAAAGAAGCAGTCATAATCTGTATTCACGTTCACTTCTCTCACTGGAATGAATAGACTGCCGCTGATCTCCTTAAGGGGCGGGGCAGTGGTAAAACCCTCAAGACATTTAACCTAAGGTGGGCCGTCTAGATGAAACAACAGTCTCTGATTCAGCTTAAACTGTGTGATTGATGGGTTATACCGCTGGAGCACAAATACACACTGTCATGACTTTCCCCAAGAACAGGAAATCAGGATTTTGAAAAAATGAGAAGAAGGAGCAGGGGGCCCAGAATTTCATGCTACGCCTCTGTGCATCATAGTCTAGTTTGGATCAACCTCCAAACAGGACAAGAACAGCTTGCAATGGACCATCAGGTCATCAGAAAAGATCATTTGGTGCCAACCTGCCCTCCCTCCAGGACTTGTTGTAGGCCTCCAGAGACAGAAAGCAGGCTGAAGAAAATCACTGCAGACCCCTCAAAGTGGAAAACAGTTTAATTCAAATAGGCTTTTATTGACATGAATGTTTAACTTACATTATTGCCAAAGTTAAATTGCATATTACTGAATAATGACTTTTTACACAAGAAAACAAAATAATTACAAGACAGCAAATATACTTTAAATCCACACATTGTTTTACAGATGTAACCCCTCAGAAACATGTACTACATGACTTACTAGTGATATTGGTGCATGACTGATGGGGTTTCCTAATGTACATGCTCTTAAATCATGATCATAAGCCTACAATGAAAAGCAAACCTTATTACAATCTCTTTCAAAATCAGCTTAAATTGCATAAACATTTTCTACCAAAGTGAATTATACAGGTCATAATTCAATACATTTTAGTTTCCTATAAAAAAAATCCCACTATAATGACAAATTCAGTGGCTTGATTTCTGGATCCATCGGTCTTTTAGTTGAATTTATTTCTTTTTGCTTACTATCTCAGTTTTGCTGTATGTTTTATCAGAGTGGAATAATTACATCA